TAATTAGATAACAATTTAAAAAACAAACACGTCAAAAGACAGTGCTTACTCAAGGCAATTACGCCAACATGTATCAGTAATTGAATGCAAACAGACCCAAACAAAAAAAAGTGAGACATCTAACCTACAACACCTGCATATAGCAATCACATCAGTTTATAACAAGTACGAAAACAAGATTGCTGTTTGTCATAAGTGTAAGCCCATGACTGACAAAGGCCTTCCGTCAGTGAACTTGGCTCTACGTAACACGTCATCATGCATGCAACACCCGCACTTTCTAATCTTATCCCCACAGTCGCAACTAATGATAAAGTTGGCTGCCATGTGGTGCCCTATTGCTTTTTGCCCAAGTTCTCACCGAGAGCCGTGTGCCAATTTCATGTTAGGCCACTAACATGTACACTGAAAAAGTATGAGCACGAAACTTAACTAATAGTTTGAAGCACTGAGAGAGGTACGTCCTAACGTTTGGTGTAAAAAATGGTGACAGTAGACTGTAACCGTTTGTAACAAAAACAGTGACAACAATACTAACACAATACAACATTCAGTACCAGAAACTGGCGCGCTGCCATGCTTGGCACTAAAGGAATCAAAAAGAGTGTTAGCAAATTGCAACGTTCAGAACAACTCACGACCACGGCACTGAGGCCATGCTTTGCATTGATTCGATTTTAAAAGTACTCGCTTTTCCAGTACACAATTTGTCACCATTAAGATAACGCCACCAGTGTGCCTGATTGCTTCAGCATCAGCCAACTGTAAGCTATCAAAGCGAACTCTGGGTAAACCAAATATTTACAGAATAAAGCCCTTGATGTGCTGTGAGCATTAGCGCCACAAATGACGACAGCCATGCGACCACATTGTTACAGACAGCACAAGAAATATCTACAGCAATACATCATAGCACATCAAATGCTTAGTACAACAAAATACAACAGTGACAGCACCGTGATGTGTTTCTTAGCATGTAGAGCTAGGGGTGGCAATACCAATACATTGATACACAAACAACGAGCAGCTTCAACATAATTGATAACTATTGTCAAATGCAACTTCAGAGAGCAGTACTGGCATTCCCTCCTCAAAAGGGGGAATAGGATGATGACTTCACCAGCCAGCTCATGAACAAGAATATTCAATTGCAAAGACAGTCAAACACCTTGGGGTGTCTTCTCGTGACTTGAAGTGTCAGACTGTAGCTCATTACTATCTAAGGGACTGTTTGACATGTTCTGCACCGTCAGCACTGGCAAGACGAATTCATGGGCCAGTATGGTAAAAAAAAGAACACAGATCTTGTGGCTTCTTCTATTCTGTGATATGCACTCATTCATACTGCTGCACAGGAGTGAGTGCGATGAATTTCTGTAAACTGGAAGCCTTAGCTAGATTTCATCGACTGTCCTGCATTGAACAAATATCACGAGAGCCCCTCACATATTCAACGCCATTGACTCGCCAGTATCATACATGTGGCACAGTTGACTGAAGTGCCAATTATCAGAAAGAGAAATTCGAGGCTCAATCATACTTATATGAAGCTAATAAACAAAAGACAGAAAAACTGTACAATCTAAATAACACTCTACATAAAGGTACTGGGGGTGTTTCCTGTGTGTTCTTGGTGACAACATCCACACAACCGACACTGAACCATTATGCTATCAGGGTACAGTCACACAAAGTTGTAGCTGGCCTTAGGGTTAACAAACTGCTACATGACAAAAAACAAATTGTATGAATCGCCAGCCAAAAATAACCCGAAAAACAACATCATGGCTAGAAGAACAAGTTAAAGAACTTTTATAATTAGCAATAATTGTCTTCTAAAACAATAAAGTGAGACTCACTCTGTTATTTGACCAACATTTCACACCGAGCATTTCTTTATAGAGAGGTAATCGCAAATGTCCAAAAAATGGCTGCAGAACTCTCCTAAGCAGGCTCCCTGCTAGGAGCAGCAATGCAGATGTCGATATCCACTGCGGCTATCGTGCATATCTTTCTTGAACATGACGTCGCAATACCTGCCTAATATTGCTCGTACAGTCGACTCTCAATAAATCGAACTTGAAGGGATCAGGAAAACGTGTTCCATTTAACAGGAGTTCCATTTACGGAGTGAACAGGGTTACAGCATTCAAGTAGAGAATCCATCATATTGGGGCAGTTGATCCATTTAAGCAACAGTTTCGTATAAGAGACTTTCTATTTACCGAGAGTCCACTGTACACTGCTGAAAAAAAGACGTCAAACACAACACCTCCACGGCCGCGTAAAAATGAATTGGCTGCATATCTCCGTGCTTTGCAGCAAAAAACATCGAAAGACGCTGGTCTTCTGCCTGAAGGCGCTGCGTGAGATATGGCACCATGTGGCAGTAGTGCAAAGAAACAAAAGTTCTTTAGAACACAGGGCCCCTGGTAGGTAACAACACCGCATCGTTTTAGTTAAGGGGAATGCGGCACATCAAGACCGAAAATCGGCAAAAAAAATCCAGTTCTTGTGGACCTTCTTTTCCCGTTCCCTCACATCATTGCGCACATACTTACAAAATTTCATACCCGAATATCATTAGCTTTTATCGTTATTCAACTTTAAAAAACCGAGAACGGGCGTCCTGCCCTTTAAATTGAGGGCGAATAGCGCAGATTTCGGCTCTATGATACGCGCGAACTACGCGCTCAATCGGTGCCATTTTGGTCCTTGTCTGAAAGGGCACATTTTCAGCCGTTTTTTTTATTCAGTAAGCAACATTGAGCATTTCCCCAGCTCGAAAAAGAGGGCCTCATAGACAAAGAGCCACGCTCACTGCCATTGACTAAACGGCGTACGTGACTAAAATGGCGCTTACCCGGTTGGCTGGAAGCTCGTGGCTCACACCTGCATACGCATCCCGACGCCATTTTGAAAGGGTTACTGCTGTGACGCCTCGAAATCGGCAGAGCCTTCAAAAGCTTCTAATCGTATCGGCATGCCGAGAAATGCAAAGAAGTATCACACTGTGCACGCATTTGGTCGCCGAAAACACAAAGGTCGCGGGAGAAAGTCTACGAAGTCATCAAAGCTCTCGGTTGACTCCGACGAACGATGTGGTGACGCTCTGCGGCCGTTCAGCAATGGTGCGACCTGAGCGCGTTGCCTTTGACAACGATGACGGTGAAGCAAACTCTGGGCACCTACGAATTGATGCCAATGTAGTGACAGACGCGGAAGTCGAAGAAAATCGTGCCCGTGAGGAAGCGACGCTTGAGCGGCTATCATCGGCACCAGAAACAGCACGGAAAATTGACTCTTTCACCTCAAGTTGCAGTGTGGCAACTGCCCAGGACTAGGACGACGGTGCTCCTTATCTGCTTATGCATCTAGATATGCTACACACGATAATGGGAGCCTTTTGCTGCAAAACTTGCCACAGACCAGCCACAATCGTCAGAGGAGATCAGAACTATGGACTTGCTGCGAAAGTGTTAGTGTAGCGTGAAAGGTGCGGCGAAATTGCGAATGAATGGACTTCGCCCCGCGTGAAGGGCACGATAACATGTTATCCGTTTAAAGTGAATCTTCTCGTTTCGAGGGCGACAGTGGCTACCCGCAATGGCCAAATGAAAATGAATGATATTTTCGTGACATTTCAGCAGCATTTGAAGAATACGTTGATGCCGGCTGCAATGCGAGCGGCTGAGTCCGCTATGAGCGAATGTGTGGAAAAGGTTGCTACAATTTATGATGTGTTGTGCTTCGGCCACCGGGGCAATATTGCCATTAGCTATGATGGCATGTGCAAGACACGAGGCCATTCTTTCCACATCGGCGTCGGCACAGTCATTGAATTATTTAGTGGCTACGTGTTGGACTACATGGTTCTTTCAAGCTTCTGCCTAGGCTGTGAGGTGGGACCAAAGCCACTATAGCCGAGAGTGCTATCAAGAATGAAAGGCTAACCATAAATACCAAAAAAATACGAACAGTAAAGTAGGGTGAATGGAAGTGGAGGTGGCTCTGATTCTATTTGAGAGGTCGCTTGAACACCATGGCTTGCACTACACCACTATGCTGTCTGATGGAGACTCTCGGACCTTTTGTGCCATACAAGACGCCAAGGTGTATGGTTACATTGAGGTGCAGAAGGAAGACTGCATAAATCATGCGCAGAAGAAGCGGATGGGCACGCCGTTAAGAAACCTTGTGCAGAAACAAAAGTGCAATGGAAAAAGAGGCCTTGGTGGGAAAGGCAGGCTCACAGCTGAGCTGATCACAAGACTTAGCACATATTATGGCCTGGCTCTGAAATCTGACGAAGGTGACGAGGGCGAGATGCCAAAGGCTGTGACGGCCACATACCATCACGTCACTTCTACTGACGAATGCTCGAACCACAGTCTGTGCCCAGCTGGTGAAAGTTCATGGTGTCGGCACAATGCCGCAAAAGCAAAGGGTGAGCCCGACCCCAGCATGCTCACAATCTACCGAAAGAGCATGCCAGAGGCATTACTACCAGTTTATACCCAGCTTTCTGAAAGGGCCCTGCTTGAAAGGTGCGAATGCGACAAGACACAAAACTCCAACAAGAGCCTGCATTCGGTAACCTGGAGCTTTGACCCCAAGGAGCAGCATGCGTCCCTGTTCGCTGTTGAAGCAGCCCGTTGCAGAAGCAGTGTTGCGCTTCAACACGGGCAATTTGAGTTGTGCAACGGCAAACTTAGGTCAAATGGACATTAATGCGACAAGCAATGCTGCCAGGAGAACGAGAAAAAAAAGACCACCGTCGCAGCATCGTCTGCAACATGAAAAGAACAGCCTCATTGGAACTCTGGAAGCTAGTGAAGAGGAGGCATGAGCACAGAATGCATTCAGACTATGCTTCTGGTGTGTTTTAAGGTGTCTTGTTGCATCTTCTGCATTTTCTTGATTTCTGAAAACAACAATTTTCATGTGCTTGCCGTTATGCCAGAGCAATATCTCTTGTTCTATCTAGATTATCATTACGATTTTTTTTTCGTTTCAAAGTTAAATGGAGGGGATGTCGTCAAGTAAGTTCTATTATAATCATTTTCTGAGGAAAAATCTCTAAAGAAATCTCTTGTTTCAAGTGTAGTTGGGAAATTTTTCATGTCATATTCAACATCCCACAACATTGCTTCAAAATAGCCCAGAACAACTATTTATACTTTACTGAACACTGTGAACAACCTGAACTGGTTTTATGAGTTGCACATCAATCTGCAAGTTACCGTTAAATAGCTAATTAGACCTTAATTGAAAAACAATGGTTCAATATATCTTTAAAACTTTTTGTCGCAGCAAAAAAAAGAATTAGATTTTTGAAATCAGCAGTAAAATCTACGTAAGCTCTCTAAATTTGATTGAGGTACTCGAAAAAATAAAAGTTTTCGGAAAGTGTGGCATCCCCTCTTAAAGCTCCCAAATTGTTCAGCGAAGTGTAGGAAACACCCACTCTGTCATTACAGCATCCCACTGTCAGCACAGTGTGAACACTTCGTTCTCCAGGATGAGGTATTTATGCATTTTATAAATAAAAAGACACACTGCCTACAACTTACATATTGATGTTGCATTTCAGATATGTGTAATATTAACTTTTTGACTGACAATGTTCAGACATATAAATGCAGCCACCAGATCAAAATAGGTGGGCATTGAGCTAGGGGTTCAAATGAATAGTTCAACAGAAAGATCAACAGAAAGACAGAGGGACCAAAATTTCTGCGTTGAAGTATCTCGAAAAAGACTATGGTCTTTAAAACTCTCTCCAAGGGCACCTTCTCACAGGTCTCACAGTTGCCAACGATGCCTGTGAAAAAAAAAAAGGCTTTGACAGCTGAGGCATTGGCACCAGAACCATGTCTATGGCAGGTCATCGTTATGCAGTGGTGCAGAATGACTCTAGGAGCACAGCTTTAAAAAAAACTCTCTCGGAGAATGAGTTCCCGCGTGCTGCATCATTATTAGCGAGTGAAACACACATCCCCAAAACAGCAACACCTGTTGCACACCACGAATTAGACAATGCTTCGTAGGAGCATCTACAGAGCCGATGTCGAGACTGGTGGTTGAATCTTGTCCCTACAACACAACTTCAACAGAGTGCGAAATCCATGTGGCTCAACGACACTGGTGCTATCCATGTCATTGCAGGTATGTTAAGCCATGCGACGGTGTTGGGGACCTTCTTAAGTTAAGTGTGTTGCAGCTAACACTACCGGCGTGTTTTGCAACATGTTCATGAACAATAGTCCTGCCTTGTCTTCGGGAACGACTCCTGGCACGAAGTCCCAATTAGGTGGAGCGCATCTTCCTTGCACAGTAGTTTCCTGGTTAACAATCAGCTGACAGGCCTTCCAGATGACGAATCAGAAATGCTTGCTCACATTATACACAGTTGAAATGAAAAGTTAGTGACTGCCCAATGTTAGAGATAAGAAAGGGACCCAACTTCAGTACTTTCGAAGCACATCTGCGGTCAACAATGATAGACTTCGCATCGTTCTTGCTACACATTGCAAGGATTCGCACAAAGAATGCCAGAATGCCATCAGGACATGACCACAGAGGAGACCGATACAACAAAACATGTCATAAAGACATCACCATGAAGGCTACCCATGCGCAGTGTTGATTCATGCCACAAAGACGACGCAGCGTGCAGACACAGTGTTGAGACTTTCTGCTTTGGTGATTCTTTGCCGTCTTCTTATCTGGCTGAAAGCAATGCATGAATCTTCTGTAGGCACAACTGCACCTCACTTGGCGAAAATTCAAAGCAGCTTCCAGACTTTGCTCACACGAAGCTGAAGAAGGTGGGCAGCTTGCCTGTCCGCTTCTGGCGCCAATAGTCACGGGCCAGCTTAGCAAGGATGGCGATGATGGCAATGGCCATGAGAACGCTCAGTGCATCTAGCAATCCCTGTGTCCAGTCCGTGGGCTGCGGGCATAAGTCCGACTTGGGCAGCGAGTAGATGGTCCTGCCCGCGAGGACACTAGGACTGCCATCCGAGCAGCGGATCTCCTCCACGTCCTTGACCTGGTCAAAGTGCACAACAAATGTCATAAACACTCAGTTTTATTGTCCAAAAATGTCACAGTCTAATATGTCACATCAAAACAACAACAACAATAATAATAATATTAATAATATCTCGGGTTCAATGTCACAAAACAAATATTTAGTTATGAGAGACACTGTAGTGCAGGGTTCGGGAAATTTCAACCACCTGGAATATTTCAATATGCACCTGAATCTAAGCATACGGCTTCAAACATTTTTGCTTCCATAGAAAACGCAGCTGCTGATGCCAAAACTCGATCTTGCGACCTTCTGGTTCAGTCGAGTGCCATAACCACAACACTACTGCCGCGGGATGTCAAAGCAACAATATTTAACCAAAATATAGTTTGCAACATAGCATGTAGGTTGAGTTAAAATTTAGCACAGTCTCATATGAATTCATGACACAAAGAAAGCTCATTAATAAGTTACTTGTTACTTTAAAAGATGAGGTAATTCTAACATGTTCTTCAGTCTTCGACTTCAAATGTTTTGTTTAGTGGCATTAAACTGTCGTTAATTCGGCAGCAACTAGGTCAATTCGGACTATCCTGAGATTGCACTGAGCACTCAGCACAAGGTATGGTGGTGCATAAGACGGAAAACGACGTTCACCACCAACCAAAATGAGACGGCACAGTCCGCATTGCCATAGTCATCGTTGAGAACCGTACAGTATGACAGAAAAGCCCGAACGATTACTAACTACTAGCATTTACCACCATGTGCGGCATCTCATGCAGGCATTCAAAAAGCCGTGGTCGGTATCCACAATCGCATTCTTGGTGACCATGGCTTTAGTAGCTGCTTTGACTCTATTTCATTTACCAGCGAAAAAAAATATCATCACATGCACATAACGACGGTACATAATAAGGTCAGAACAATTTTCGAAGTAATTAACACCCAAGCGTTTTGCACCACGAAACCACTGTGAAAGAAGTTGAAGATAACGAAAATTGCGTACTTTTTGGCTACTCTTGTACAAAATGAATACCACTTTAATGTATCTAACAAGAAATCGACATTGCGTTGGTGTAATAGAAGTTTGGTTATTGCTTTCTTCATGCTATGAATTACTCTGAACTTAGTTAATTTAGACATTTCTGCTGGTCCTGTGAAATCTCAGAGTTCGTTGTAGCAAACCTCAGATTAAAACTTTTTGCAGATTAGTGACTATTTCGAAAATTCCGCTTGATATGTCCATTGGTTTCATGCGAAAATTTTTCACTACTACAAAATTCAGAATACCGAATGTTTCAGAATATCTTATTGAATAATACTGCCCTCGTATTTCTGCAATACTTCTAGAAATAATGAATAGTGAATTTTTTAAAAACTTGGACGAATAGTGAATTTAAAAAGTGGCACTGGAAACAATGCCCAGTTCTGTACGTGCCACTACCATCATTAGAATGCCAGCATTTCTCTATGTGCCTGCACTATTGAAATGTACAACAGCCCTATCGCTGTCACCTTCGCTTGTACTTGTTTCTCTTGTTGCCTTGGTTTTTGTGGTATCCGCCGCCATGCCCTGCAGAACTATGTTGGACAGCCACGGGATCGCTAACTAACTACACCAACTAGGTATCTCAAACAACTCTGGTTATTCTTAGTCCATGATGGTTAATATACACTGATGTCGGCTGACATCATAGGGCATGTGCACGTGCGTCTGTGCATGCCTAGGGCTATTTATATTGTAACAGACATGCTGAATACAATATTCTCCCTCCATTCAACAACTTGAACAATCACTTGGAAAGAGTTACAATAAGCAGATACTACATAACACTCAATATCGTTCATAGTCTTTTAATCACGGTGGTGGTCTTTCTTATATTTTCGACTGCCTCAGTTCTGTAAGGTACCTTGAAACTGAGACCCAAAGGTTTGACTGCTTGGGCGCATCATCGGAATCATTTGGCAAGTCACAACAGGCAGATGCTACAGGAGTAGAAGGCGACGGCAGGGTACCAGCCAATTCCAGGTTGGACCATCAGTTAGTTCGTAAGTGCCTTGACCACATTGGTCAATGACTATGAATGGGCTTGAGTAGCTGACAGCACCCTTAGGCACATGGTCTGGCAGCCTGATTCATGCCGGTTGACCTGTTGTTAACAAAGAATGGTTTTTAACTTGTTGATGGTCCGTGTAGGTCTTAAAAAGCAGTTTATCTTGTGCTCCTAATATATCTAGTTTAGTTCTGCAATGACAGGGGCGCAGGAAAATGGAAGGCTTCCCTCCTGTAGTGGCATGCGGCGTGAAGCGGTAAACTTCTAGACATTCGTTGATGGGTTCCTTGAGAGGCCAACGTTCGTGTGTGCAGACCTAAACATACTCTTTGAGCACCCAATTAAATCTTTTCAGCCAGCCGTTCACTTGGGTGTGGTGAACTGCTGAATATATATGAGTGGTACTGTGTTCCTTCAGAAAACTGTTAAACTCGGTCTGTAGACTGAGGACCATGGTCGCTCATGATCTCGTCTTGGTATCCTTCCCTGCTGAAAATGTTTCGTAGGAAGAAAATAATTATTGACGCAGTCGCTCTCGCAGCGAAGCGAACCTCTGGCCACTCGCTGTAGTAATCAATGGTCGTAATGGCGAAGCGGCAATCTGCATACACATTCGCAAAAGGACCCACAATATTTATTCATGGCCTCTGCCATGGTGCTGATGGAAATGCAACTGTCTGCAATGGTGATGTCACTGGTTCTGCAGACTTGTCAACTTATTGGCATACACCACAATATCCAATCAACTGCTCTACTTGTTTGCATATAGCAGGCCACCAGTGTTGCACACATAGTCACTGCTTTGTCCTTGTTATTCCTAGTTGAGACTCGTGGGCTGCGTAAAGCAGTCCTCCTAAGAGACATGAAGGTGCGATGAACTTATCTTCAGAAAGTAGGAGGTCTCCAATGACTGAGACCCCAGTCTGCACCCTGTAGAATGAAACTGCATCCACAGGCAACGTCTTCACTGCAGGCCACGTCGAAGTCACCCACTTTATGACCTGTTGCAGCAGCTGGTCCTGCATTGTTTCAGCGACAAACTCTCCATGGGTAACGCATGGCGAGGCCACACGAACAGTCTCCCCAGTCTCTTCCTCCTCCATCTGAACTGGGAGAGGCATCCTTGAAAAAGCATCAGCAACTATATTCTTGTCAGCCTTTTGGAATTCAATTGTGAAGTTGTATGCCAGTAGTCTTGCGTGCCATCTTGCTATTAGGAACAGACGACGACCTACTTCCTTTGTACTTGGGAGTGTTGCCATAGCCTGGCGGTCAGTGCACAGAGTGAATGGATGGCCCCAAAGGTGCACTCTTTAATGTTTGCATTGTCACAAGCATGCAAGGGCCTCTAGCTCCCCAATGGAGCACTTCTGTTCCTATGGAGTAAGCCTGTGAGAAGCAAATAAAATCGTTATTGGCTCATCATTTCTTGTCTGTTCCAACACTGCTCCTAGTCCGATAGATGAGGCATTGGTGGCAATGATAATGCCACCCACAGGATCAGAAAGCTGTAAACATCTTATGGACAAGGTACTTCTTAGCTGCTCAAAACAAGCTTTTCTTGCAGGATTTAAGTAAATGCAGAATGCTCATGTAAGAGCTCAAGAAGAGGCTCAACAAGCACTACATAGTCCGGTACGAACTTTGCATAATAGCCAACCATGTATAAGAATGAGCGCAGAGTACTGATACCCGTCGGTGCTGGTGCAGCCTTGATGGTGTCAATGGTGCTTTGTAGCGGCCTTATAGACTTATCAGAGAGCCAAAAAATTTTATTTCTTGAACATCGAAAATGCATTTGTCATTCAGCTTCAATCTAGACTTTGCAATCAAGTGCAACATTTGCTTCAGGTTCTTGAAATGCTCCTCAGGTGTTCTGTCAAACACAATCACATCATCTACGTAGCACAAAATCTTTTTGCACTCTGCAAGATAGTGGCCATCATTCTCTAAAATACAGAGGTGCCGATGCAAGGCCAAGGCAGACACTTTTGTATAGATACAATTCACTATCAGTTATGAAGGTATGCGGCTGTTGAATCAATCTTGGAAAAATACTTTGCACCGTTAAGTTTGTGCACCAGTTCTTCTGTGTGAGGCAATGAAAACTTGTCAATGACAACCACTTAGCTCTGTTAGCAGAGATTGATGCGAACTCTTATCTTGGTATTTTTTTCTTTGCCACTACTATGATTGGCGATACCCATTTTGATGTATCCACCATTTTTATCACATTATTCTGCTCAAAGTGTTGCAGCTCTTCACGCACCGCGCCTCGCACTGAAAAAGGCGAATGGTGTCACTTAACAACGACAGGCGAGAACCCTTGTCTGATCTTGACCTTATAAATGAAATTTGCTGCCAGTCCTAGTTTTCTATCAAACAAGTTCGAAAATTCCCAGAAATGTTCATGTTCAAAGCCTCGTGGCGCTTGCGTAATGTTAGCACATTGCAGAGATATACCATTAATGTGCAGCCGCAAGGTTTCGATAGCGTCGACACGGAGGATGCCCGTATCGCCTTTGACGACACAGAAGAGTATCTCGGGGTGCCGGCATTGGAAGATGACTGCCACCTTAAAACACCCCTAAATGCTTATTCTGCGGTTAGAAAATCGTACAGTGTCAATGTGGTCGGCTGCACAGGAGGGCATTTCAACCTCGAATACGTGACAGACAGCAGAGCTTGTGTCTATGAGGAGACATACGGGCACTTTTTGCACGAGAGCGTCCACATGTATTGGTGTTTTGTTCGGCCTGACGAGAAGCAACACGGTGAGGTCCTTGGATATTAGTGTCAACCTCTCGGACAGCAAGTGCCCGCTCATCTGGCATGCCGCTCCGACATACACGCTGGAAATGTCCCTGTCTACCACATTTGCTGCATGTTTTATCCCGCGCCTTGCATGTTTTGGAATTTGCGAGGTGCCGCAAAGACCCACAACGAAAACACGCTTTGTGCTGGGGAGATGGCATTTGTGCTTCTGTACGTTTTGTCGAGCTGCCTAAGAACACCGTCTGCACGTTTGTTACGCAACTGTTTTAATGCCATGAACTTTGTGGTCGTACACCCACGACGAGCTCCAGAAGCAGCACAAAAGGAATGTATACCCAGCACAGGCAGGCGACTCATTTGGTTGCATTTACAACTTTTGTGTGAATTTTTCATCTTTTACCTATAACGGCTTTTCGAAATAACAAATTATTTTTACCAGTTCAAAATATTGATTTATTTTTAGCAGTACCTTGAGGTTAGTTGTATCACGATTTGACTATAACAAGCTTTTAACTATATTCCCAAGCTAACGGCCTCAATTTGAATGTTGCAAACACTTCTCTGCATTGCAACTATGTGATTTGAAACCATCGTGCGGCTGCTGACAGCAGCGTGCTCTGGAAGTAAACACGCAAGCACTGCACACGGAAACAAAACTACCCTGCTGCACACGATACCACGGCTGTCAACGCAATTATGCATCGGAGCTTCATAACAATAACGCAGCTACGATGGTATGTGGTTAACGCAGAGGTACACTAAAGGCACTAAAGTGGTAAAGGGCTTGAACCACTTAATGTTCCTGTTGTTCACTTACGACTATAGTGGAGTAGACTTTTAGACTAAGTTTTCAGTTAGCAAAGATTCCATGTCTGATAGTGGCAATCAAGTACACCATCCCTCTCTGATTGCATGTTCCATGTAGGCCAGTACATTTTCTATGCAAATAATATTGTTAAGTGCATACAGTAGAGCCTCCGAAAAAATGTAAAAGAAACTGCAGCTTAAACAGAAAAGCTATCCCTAGTTTTAATGGATTCTCATCTGAATACAAGAACGCTGTTCATTTCCCGGTATACGAAACTTCTGTTAAGCGGATCACACGAGGATGGTCCAATAAGTACTTCGCCTCACCGCAAGAGCGTGAGGCCATCACATCAGACATGTACTGATGTTGAGTGCTCTTTCTTAGAGGGAACACATGCAAAGGCCCAGTCCGATCGGGCTCACAGTTTTGTTTTGGCCACTTGAGGGAGTAGGTAATGTTCCTGTGTCCGCTTAAACTGAAAAAAGAGCAATATCGGTTGGTTATTAGATTCTTATTTTCGGAAGAGAAATCACACAGCGAAATCAAAGAGCGGCTGGATGCCTTCTGCGGTGAGTCTTCTCCTTCAATGGCAACCTTCAAAAACTGGTTTAACAAGTCTAAAGGTGGTGAAACGTTGGTTTTTGATGAATGCGCCCAGAGCCCCGCAAACGGCTACAACGGCAGATAACGTGCCAAAAATCTGCGACCTCGTTAAGAAGTTATCGCCGCCACATAAGCCTACTTTGCAGAACAGGAGAAAACTAGGCTTGTGAGAATATTCGAATGGTTCGAATATTTGAAGAAACAGTAGAGTATTCGAATTCGCTTTGATTCGAATTTAAATGATAGAATATTTCGAAGTATTCGTCATGAACGAACAGGTGTACTATACTAAACTGCATGTAACCACCTGTAAAGGTGGTTTCACTGCAGTATAGCGTTGCAAAGCCGTTAAAGCACCTCTTAAAAAAATTTGCTCTGCCGCAAAGCCCTATTTCAAATTTAAAGGGGTTTCGATGAGGCGAAAATGCTGGAGGCCTCTGTGCTGAAATTTGGGTGCACATCAAAAAACCCCAGGTGGTCGAAATATCCAGAGCCCTCCATCACGGCATCTCTCATAATCAAATGGTGGTTTTGGGATGTTAAACTACACATATCAATCAATCAAATTTAAATAGGCACTGCAACCCTTTTTGAGCATGGTCAGCAAACGCTGCCAATCTGTAGTTGAGGCTACCGAGGACACAGATGCTTCTCGTGTGACACCCAATTGTTTGAATTAACAACCGATCTCCATTTCAATATGAATGAAGATAAACAAACGGATTGCGTATTGATCGATTTTTCAAAGGCCTTTGACCGCGTTGCCCATTGCCACCTAATATCTAAATTATCTGCACTTAGACTCGATTCCTTAACCCTTTCGTGGATCCGAAATTTTCTTTCCTTTCGAAAACAATTCACTACGGTTAATAACTACGCCTCTACTCCCTCTGATGTCATCTCGGGTGTTCCACAGGGTAGTGTTCTCGGACCTCTATTATTTCTCATCTACATAAATGATTTGCCAAATAATATATCTTCCAATATGAGACTATTCGCTGACGATTGCATAATATATCGAGCTATTAACAATGATGGCGACCACCTTACCCTTCAAACAGACCTTAACCTAATTAGTGACTGGTGTGACGTGTGGCAGATGTCTCTAAACTCTTCCAAGTGCCGTGCTATGACCTTCAGTCGTAAACACAAAAACTTCAATTATTCCTACTCTATTAAAAATGATACAATAGTGCAGTGCTCTTCTTACAAATACTTAGGCGTCAATTTAACACCCAATCTTTCATGGTCGGCACACATTAGTGTTATTTGCGCGAAAGCCTCAAAAACATTAGGTTATCTCCGTCGTAATCTGCGAAAGTCTCCAACAAGCATCCGTAAACTGGCCTATTTCACTTATGTACGTCCCCAGCTGGAGTTTGCATCTTCAGTCTGGTCCCCTTTCCAAGATTACCTAACCACATTGCTAGAGTCCATACAAAACAGAGCAGCCCGGTTTATATCTCGCAATTACAGCACTCATTGCACCGTAACAACATTAAAAGAAAAACATTCTATTTCGCCATTACACGTTCGTCGCTCTGTTGCACTGTTATGTTTGCTGCATAAATATATTCACAGCACAAGACGTTCTACGCTACCCCTAACAGCACCATTGCGCATGTCCAGACGCCTGCACAATCACCTTAGTTTCACTCGCATTTATGGCAAAACGAAGGCATTCAACTTATCAGCGCTTCCTAAGGCCATATCATTATGGAACGACCTTCCCGACTGCATCGCCTCCATTACCGATCCAGATTCTTTTCGCAAACATGTGTGTAATCATTTTTCATCGCACTAATCGCTCTAAATTCACTGATGTTTGTAGCTGCATCTGTACCACTCACCTAGTTTCGCACTTCTCTTTGGTTCTTTTTAATTCTTGCTGTACCCACCGTTGTCTTGCAATTTATATTGGTGAACGCCTTCGTACGGCTGGCAGAATATGTGTTAGGAAAATGCGTGTCTATGTTGTTTTTTATTGCCATTGTTCTCCCAGTTCTTGTTATTCTCCCAGTTTTTGTTGCTCAGTTGCACTGCCGTTGCTGCTCACTTGAATTCTATACCTATGCCCTCCGAATTTCTTTATTGTGTTTCGTTCATGTACCTTGAATTTCTTGTTATTTAAGCTTTCTGCATATCGGGAAACATTCGCGTATTACGTTTGTTTGAGTGTCAGTGACAAGACACGCTTTGTCACGATGTTGTGTTATTTTCTGTGTATTACATGTTATTGATGACCACCCTATTACTCTTTGAAGTTTGTACCCCCCTTACTCAATGCTCTCATTGAGCTTGTAAGGTATCATAAATAAATAAATAAATATTACAGCACAGCACATGACCTGGAATTCGGAATAAATTTTCAAAGTAAGATAAAAAATTGCTCAATACTCTTGGCAAATGACGCCACAATGTCGAAAAACGCTCGCCACAGCCATTGTACCAGCCATTGGCTGATTTGAGCATGGGGCGCTCAGTTGTTACGGGTGCCGCTACGGGTGGCCACGACATGTCCACCCGTACATGCGCGATTGCACTGAAAAGCCACATATTTCAATGCTTGCAAAGAAAAAAAGAGAAAGAGAGCTCAAAGTCATGGCACGCACATGACATATTTTCTTTCCTAATGCCATCTCCTGGCTTTTCTTCAAGCGCTTCCATCGCGACGAGAAAAGAAAATGCAATTGCAGCATGTGGTAAATCTTTGCGACTCCGCTCACACTGGACAGATTCTAAAAACTTTTGCGGCAGTTAATTCATAAGGCAATAAGTTTTTTTTAGTGAATTCATTTCATGAGTACTTGAAGAACTGTTGCAGGGTCCCTTTAAATGAACATACTATCCTCAAATCGATTGACCATTTGTAAGCTTAAACGCTTGTTTTGCCGGGTTAGACAATCTAGCTGTAATGAAGAATGTTACGTATTTTACCGGTTATCACTTGCATCATACTGAAAGTCAAATCTTACTTTTTCTCAAAGTTGTTTCGACTTCGTTTGAATGGAAGAAAATAAATAAAGCTCTTGCATAGAGGCCTTCTTTAAAAGAAAATATTGCAGGTTAATAAGGTCTTTATAAATATGCCCATTATGTTTTACACAGCATATACTCTATTCGAATTCAATTTGAAATTATTCGACCAAAATCACTATTCCTTAGAATTTGCTTTGAACCTAAAATTCACTATTCGCACAAGCCTAAAGAAAACATATTTTTTTGACGGTATGAAGACGTTCGAGCACCGCCGGATCAAGTATATAGAGTTGAAAGGAGACAGGTAGAAAAGTAAACCAGCACCATTCCAAAACTTTTGTATTTATTTTCAAGGCTAAGTACTCATTGGACCTCCCTCAAATTTTCTTGATTCTTCAGCTTTTAGTAAACGAGTCTACTGTTTATTGTAGTTAAAAAACAAACAATGCTAGTTTGCTGCTGATACAAAATTTAGAGCGATATGAATATTTCGACTTTGCCTTGAGATTAGCATCATTGCCTGGTATCACTGTATTGCCACCCACCTTTTTGTTGTCTTGAAGCCAAGTGGCAAAGCTGACGGTATCGCAGCTGCAGAGCCAGGGATTGCCGCTCAGGCGCAGGTCGTCCATCTTGTGGCCGCTCAGCTGTTGGAGCACATGCGAGGCCAGTCGACTCAGACGGTTGTTCGTCAGGTGGAGCGCCATCAGCGACCGCAGAGAGCATGTGCCCACCACCTGAAAACGATAGTTGGATGGAAACCCGTCTGGTCAGTAACAGACATGAAGTCAATTAAAACAACACACTGACCATGAAAAGAGGCAACTGAAAGTACACCATTTTGGCCCCCGTAGGGGAGCCTTTTTCACAAATGAAAAATTACTGTGTGAGCAGTCTGGTTATGTAGCTTATAAGATGCGACCTAAGCAATGTGTGTAGGTGTGTGGAAAGTTTCCAATTACCACTTGCACAGAGAGATGCATGCGAGAGCAACTCTAGTCTAGTCTTCATTTTGAAAAGTGTCTTTGAAGAAAAATAAACGAATAAATGCGTGAAGTACACATTGAGTTGTACGAAGCTTGGCACAGCAAAGCTGCCTTATCCTCAGGTCGTCGTGCTGCAGCAAGGGAGTCACGACGTCAATGGCAATTGAATACTGCGTGCTCGGCTGAGGAAATGAAAATCAAGAAACGGCTATAACGAATACAGAATACTTTTTTTTTATTTACACACTGCCTACAGGCCACACTGCCTACAGGCCACACTGCCTACGGGCCACAATGCGTATATGTCATATAGGATGGCCATATAGGCATTTTGTAGGAGGGGAGAAATAATAACCAGTAAAAAGATCACGTTGCAGTGGTATATACAGGGCTTCACGTCTCCCTTGATTGATAGAAGGAGGGGGCTCTGATAGAATGGTGATCTCTCTCTCTTTTTTTATCTGTCTGTCTGTCTGTCTGTCTGTCTGTCTGTCTGTCTGTCTGTCTGCCTGCCTGCCTGCCTGCCTGCCTGCCTGCCTGCCTGCCTGCCTGCCTGCCTGCCTGCCTGCCTGCCTGCCTGCCTGCCTGCCTGCGTGTGTGTGCGAGCACAACGGATGAAAGATGGCGTCACCATCTCTCATCCAGTCACCCGTGAACTGTCACACATTTCTCCCTTTTCCCGAGAGAGCGTCAACTTAGTGGGACAGCAGTAGTGGCGTAGCTTGCTTACGTGCACAATGTCAGTACTTCTGCTTAACGATATCACGCATATATTAGGATATTATATATACATATATATATATATATATATATATATATATATATATAGATGATAGAGATATATGTGCAGTTGAAAAGAAATATGGTATTCGTAGCGATCACGTTTGTCTTGTCGTGCTGCCGTGTTCACATAACATTATATAATGTATCAGCGAATGTTTTTCCTTCGTAGGAATGTTATCATTATCGGGAGACGTTGAAAAATATACCGGGCCTACAAATGCGGAAATGATTAAGAAACTTCTTCAGACACAGAAGGAAATCTTGAGCAAACTTTTTGGAGTCAGGCCTCTTCTGAAGCAAGATTGGTTCAAAGGAATATTAGACTATCAACTATAAAAGAAAATCTGAATGAATTAGAAGCTGTCAAAAACGGACTAAACACGCTGAGGGCAATCTAAATGAAACATACAGAAATATAGATTCACTCAGCTGGAAGGTAGATGATCTAGAAGATAGATACAGGTGAAATAACCTAATAATAAGAGACATTAGAGAAGAGGGACGTGAAACTGATGAGATTTTGATGGAAAAGTTGAATGATGATGCGTTTAGTGGCATCCTGAAACTCAAAATAAATTCAGTTGAAAGCTTACATCGCCTGAGTAAAAGAACTGGAGGTAGAGACTGTCCTAAACATCAGATTAGCTAACTTACGAGATAAAACTAAAATCTTGGGTCATTGTTCCATGCTTAAGGGGGGATGCTACACCTTCCAAAAACTCTTTTATTTTTGCGAGTACCTCAGTCGAATTTGGAGGGCCTATGTAGATTTTACTGCTGATTTCAAAAATCTAATTCTTTTTTTGCTGTGACAATTAGTTTTAAAGATATAATGAACTGCGACTTTTTCAATTAAGGCCTAATTAGCTAATTAACTGTAACTTGGATATTGATGTGCAACCTATAGAACCAATTCGGAATGTTCACAGTGTGCAATAAAGTATAAATCATTGTTCTGGGCTATTTCGAAGCAAAGTTGTGGGATGTTGAATATGACATGAAAAATTTCCCCATCTACACTTGAAACAAAAGATCCATTTAGAGAATTTTCTCCAAAAATTATTACAATAAAACTTACTTTACGACACATCCCCTGCATTTATCTTCGAAACAAGAAAAGAAATCGTAATGATAACCCAGATAGAACAAGAGATATTGCTCCGGCATAATGGGAAGCACATGAAAATTGTCGTTTTGAGAAATCGAGAAAAAACGTGGGCACACATTTTTATTGCAGATGATGCAACAAGACAACCTTAAAACGCACCAGAAGCATAGTCTGAATGCATTCTGTGCTCATGCCTCCTCTTCACTAGCTTCCGGAGTTCCAATGAGGCTGTTCTTTTCTTGTTGGAGACAATGCTGCGACGGTGGTCTTTTTCTCTCGCTCTCCTGGCACCAGTACTTGTCGCATTCATGTCCATTTCACCTAAGATTGCCGTTGCAGAATTCAAATTGCCCGTGTTGAAGCGCAGCACTGCTTCTGCAACAGCTGCTTCAACAGCGAACAGGGACGCATGGTGCTCCTTGGGGGCCAAACTCCAGATTACCGAATGTAGGCTCTCGTTGGAGTTCTGCGTTTTGCCGCGTTCGCACCTCTGAAGCAGGGCTCTTTCCGAAAGCCGGGTATAAACCGGTAGTAATGCCTCTGCCACGTCTTTCGGTAGATTGTAGGCATGCCTGGGGTCGGGCTCACCCTTTGCTTTTGCGGCATTGTGCCGACACCATGAAGTTTCACCAGCTGGGCACAGACTGTGGTCCGAGCATTCATCAGTGGAGGTGACGTGGCGGTATGTGGCCATCACAGCCTTTTGCATCTCGCCCACGTCACCTCATGCGATTTCAGAGCCCGGCCATAATATGTGCTCAGCCTGGTGATCAGCTCACCTGTGAGCCTGCCTTTCCCACCAAGGCCTCTTTTCCCATCGCACTTTTGTTTCTGCACCAGGTTTCTCAATGCGGTGCCCATCTGTTTCTGTACATGATTAATACAGTCTTCCTTCTGCACGTCAATGTAACCATACACCTTGGCGTCTTGTATGGCGCAAAATGTCCTAGAGTCTCCATCAGACAGCATAGTTGTGTAGCGCAGGCCATGGCGTTCAAGCGACCTCTGAAATAGAATTAGAGCCGCCTCCACTTCCATTTGCCCCGCTTTGCTGTTCGTATTTTTTTGGCATTTGTGGTTAGCCTTCCATTCTTGATAGCCCTCACTACTAGGCTTTGGGCCCACCTCCCAGCCTAGGCAAAAGTTGGAAAGAACGACGTAGTCCAACACGTAGCCACTAAATAATTCGATAACTGTGCCCACGCCGATGTGGGAAGAATGGCCTCGCGTCTTCCACGTGCCGTCGTAGCTAACGGCAATATTGCCCGGTGGCCGAAGCACAAGTCATCATAAATTGTTCTAACCTTTTCCGCACATTCGCTCATAGCGGACTCAGCCGCTCGCGTTGCAGCGGATGCCAGCGTGTTCTTCAAATGCCGCTGAAACGTCTTGTGGTGCATACCGCGGTGTGAGATGCCCATTGTTGCGAAAATATAGTTCATTTTCGTTTGTGGCCGTTGCCTGTAGCCACCATCGCCCTCGAAGCGAGAAGATTTACTTCAAACGGATTGCACGTTTTCGTGCCGTTCGCGCGGGGCGAAGTCCATTCATTCGCGATCTCGCCGCACCTTTCACACTGCACTAGCACTTTCACGGCAAGTCCGTAGTCCCGATCCCCTCTGACGATCGTAGCCGGTCCGTGGCAGGCTTTGCAACACAAGGCACCCATTATCGCGTTTAGGATATCTAGATGCATAAGCAGATAAGGAGCAGCGTGGTCCGAGTCCTGTGCGGTTGCCTCGCTACAACTTGCGGTGAAAAAGTCAATTTTCCGTGCAGTTGCTGGCGCCGATGAAAGCCGGTCGAGCGTCGCTTTCTCCCGGGCATGATTTTCTTCAACTTCGGCGTTTGTCACCACCTTGGCGTCAATTCGTAGTCGTCCGGAGTTCGCTTCACCGTCATCGGCGTCGGAGGCAACGCGCTCGGTCGCACCATCGCTGAACGGCCGCGGAGCGTCGACACATCGTTCGTCGGAGTCAACCAAGGGCTCTGATGACTTCGTAGACTTTCTCCCACGACCTTTGCGTTTCCTGCGACCAAATGCGTACACGGTCCGATACTTTTTTGCGTTTCCAGGCATGGCGATACGATCAGAAGCTTCAGAGTGCTCTGCCGATTTCGAGGCGTCACAGCGGTAACCCTTTCAAAATGGCGTCGGGTCGCGTATGCAGGCGCAAGCCGCGAGCTTCCAGCCAACCGGAAAGCGCCATTTCAGTCACGTGCGCAGTTTAGCCAATGGCAGTGAGCGCGGCTTTTCGTCTTTGAGGCCCCGTTTTTCGAGCCGGGGAAACGCTCAATGTTGCTTACTGAATAAAAAAAACAGCTGAAAATGCGTTCTTTCAAACAAGACCAAAATGGCGCCGATCGAGCGCGTAGTTCCCGCGTATCGTAGAGCCGAAACCTGCGCTATTCGCCCTCAATTTAAAGGGCAGGACGCCCGTTTTCGGTTTTTTAAAGTTGAATAACGATAAAAGTTGATGGTATTCGGCTATGAAATTTTGTAAATAGGTGCGCAATGATGTCGGGAACGCGAAAAGAAGGTCCGCGAAAACTCGATTTTTTGGCTGATTTTCGGTCCCGAAGTGCCGCGTCCCCCCTTAAGAGATCGAACATAAGCGTCAGTGAGGATTATTTTAAGAGGATTTTTGAAATATGAAAAAGTCTTTGGGCGTCTTCGCAAGAGGAGCGATCAAAGGGAGCAAAGGTTAAACTAATACATGATAAAATCAAAATCAACAATGTCCTTTACGCATGTAATGAAGACACAAACGAGTGCTTCGAGTGTCGTGCTCGTCAACAGAGTGATTCCGCCTGAATTTTCGAAAGTATTGAATGTAAATGCTAGGAGCATTTTAAATAA